GTAAGAGAACTGAGGGATTTTCAAGATTACAATAAATAAATAAATAAATAAATAAATAAATAAATAAATCTCCATTATTTCCTTGTGGCTAAACTAAGTTTCCCCTTACCCCCACTCTCTTTTCAAAGACTTGGTGTTCATATTTTAATAGTCAATAATACTTTAAAAATCCCAGGTGGTATTGTATATTAGTTTGTGTACAAATATGAAGTCCAACTATTTAAATCCTCAGTTGACTGCTGGTGGTATGATGTTGCTTGAGATAAAGAAGATTTTTCATTGTCTTTTCTTGGTCTTATTGCATTTTAAATAGGCTTACATGGCTGACGATACATTTAAGTTTGATTTTTCCCCCCAGTGCTTGCCATACTAATTATTTTGCCACCAGAAGCATTTGCAGAGGATTATAAAAGGTCAAGATGGTGACCACAACAGTGTGATTGAAGCCTAAAATGTTAAAAAGGGGCAGTGTCACACAGTGTCTTGACACTGTGACACGGTCACAGCTGCTGTCTTGCCTTTTTGAATTCTCTCCCACCCAGACTGCAACAAGGCTATGCTTTGCAGGGTCAAATGTATCTTAGCTGCATATTTACTGCAGCTGCTAATATCCAAGTCACCTTTCTTTCTTTCTTCTTTTTAGAATTAGTATAACGCAGGGTTTCCTAAAGTGGTAAATATTGACTCCCAAGGGTTGATGGGACTATCCAAGAGGTCAATAAATGGCTGGGGGTCAAAAGAGGGATCAGTAAATGTCTGAAGGTCAACAGGTGGTCGATAAATGATGGAAGGTTGATTGGGGTCAATTAATCTTTTGAGGGGTCTGTAGAGATCCACACCAGTCCCTAGTGCTGAGGGTGAGGTGACTAGCGGCGAGACAGTATTACCCAGGGTTGGATGGTCAGCCACCAGCAAGAGTGGGCTTGAGTTGTCTCTATCAGCTGTGTATTGTTACTGGCCTTGTTTATCTATTATCTATTATTATTATTATTTGTAGTACTATTAAAGTACTATTTATTAAATTATTTTTATATACAGGTAGCTCCCGTTTAGTGATCACAATTGGGACCAGCAACTCTGTCGCTAGGTGAAGTGATCACTAAGTGGGAAATCACATGACTGTGACTATGTTTTCCTTTCTCCCACTCCCCCACCCTTTGGAATGCTCATTTCAGTGCTGGGATAATTAGCAAGAAGGAAATTAACATTTGTATTTACATTCACTGGAGAGGAAGGGATTACAAGAGAGTAAGCAGGTACACAATGGGAAATACACAGGCACTATTTATGTAGCATGCTCAGGGCTGCCGGCACCACCACATTCCTTTCAATGTGTATTCCCCATTGTGTGCCTGCTTGCTCTCTTGTAATCCCTCTTGTTAAACATCCCCTTCCTTTTTAGTCACTGCAAAAGTATACAGCACGTTGTATTCTTGGAGAAGGATCTTAAACAGTTGGATTTTTCAGTTTGTTGGAAGTATGTGTGGATAATAGTCAATACTATTGATGAACCTTTTTGCAAAAGCTGAGATAAACTTTGGTACTTATTTTTAAAGCACAGATATATTTACAGATACCTCTTATGTTTTGGAATTGAACATAACTGGACACAATGTGATGAAATTTTGCAAGCTAAAGTAAAATGGAATTGGCCATATTGTGGCCTGAGAACTCAGTGTTTTGTTTGCAGATTCTTATTTCTCTTCTTTGGCTAGCAAAAACAAAGTAATTTAAGAAGATTTAATTTTCCTTATTTATTCTAAAGACTGAATCTGAATTTTGGAAAGAGGTAGCCTATGAATTTGATTGGATTTGATGAAGAAGGTTTATTCTGTTTTGTTTCAGGATTTACCGATATTGACTGGCATTACTATTTAGATGTATAAAATAAAATTAAAACTACACTGGCAGTTATATGTAGGAAGACTGGTTTTCATTCTGCCTCCATCTCTTGCACTTAGAGTTAGAGCTGCCAAATATGGGTTGCAAAAATCCAGATGACCATTAGGTCAGCATAGTGTTAGTTTTCTGCTACCCATAGTGGGCATCTAATTTTTTTTTTTTTTTTTTGGTAGCCTTTCTTAGAATAAGAGTTTTGATATTTTCAAGAATATGTGGAACTAAGGTAGCATTTTTACTCACAGGCCACCATGTCATGGATCTTCCAGCCAAGAAATAGCCTCCAACTGTTCCTCGACTGGCCCGAAGAGAAGACTAAAAACAAAGAAAAAATATTGTGAAACAGCTGAAGTAAGGAAAATGGTAACTTGGATTTTAAGAAAATTGAGCAATGTGACATTCATTGAAGAAAGACGGAACTGCAATTACTTTTATTAAAGACTGGAAACCCTTTATGGATTTTTTGTCAAAAATGGATAAAAATGAATTGGTGATTTCAGGATTTATTGATTAAAAAGGTTTGTTTATGGGAAGAGAGGAGCTATGATATGTAATTTGGGTGGGTGGAAATGGTAATTATTATGTTTGCAGCTGCTGCAAAGATCAGAAGTAGTTTCTTTAGATATTTTTCTTCTTTTTCTTTCTTTATCTTTCACTTTTTCTTTTATTCTTTTGTATCTTCTTCTTTTTCCCTACTTTTCTCTTTATGTTTCAGTACTTTTTTTTAAACCTGTGTAAAATCTTTTTATAATAAAAATTACTGTTAAAAAAAAGAAGTAGTATTTATTCTACCCCTTCTCCTTCTACCCTCAGTGTACAAAAGTCTCTATTGGGAAAGTTAGGGCCCCTCTGAGCAATGTGGTTGGCATTGGGGCTACATTTACTGCTATAGTTAAAGTCTACAAGCACCATTCCATAATGTGGAATACCAGGAGGAGGAGAAAATCACACCACATTGGATTATTTGGAGTGATGTTTTGGCAATCACCCCCTGTTTAAAAAGGATAAATAATGTTCTGCTGATAGGTTGCACTTAATTTTTTGCTGGAGCAAATGATGCAAAGTAGGTGGGCCAGGTCCTATACTGGATTTACAAAAGGGGCTTGTTAAAGTTTGGAAAGATTTTGTGAGAAGGGACAAAGAAAAAATGAAAAGAAATCAAGTTCTATGAAATTATTTGG